TAGTTGTTACTGTTTTTAGCAGGCCTGGGCCTGGTTCCAACCTGCCAGCCCCAGTGTGTGTGGCCAGCACCCTAACCACTGAGCAGCGGGCACCAAGCCCTGAATTAGGAATTCTTATTTAGTTTAGGTCAGTTGCATTTCATTTTTCACATGTGTAGGGAAAAGTTTCAATCTGAAAGATTCTTAAATAGCTTTAGGTTTTTGCTGTCTTACAATGAAAACCCATCCTAGAACATTTTAGATGTTTTTCTTTCATTTTTAACATACTTCTAAAGGCCACTAGAAATAGCAGATGCTGTGGTTTTTCTTTTTCAGGTTGTCTTGGAAAATAATTTTGAGGTGATAGTCTGATCTTTTTAAGATATACTTTTTCTTGGTTAGTTTTAATGATTAACATCTGTCCAAAATACAGTAGATGCCCAGGAAATACATTTAGTAAAGCAAACATTTAAAGTTTTCCCTTGTTTAAGTAGAGATCATGATAAATAAGCTGCTAAGAATTAGATTTTCAAGTAAATATTTCATCCATAATCTGTCAAGACAAATCCTATTTTTCTGTCAAACTAAGGTACTCTTTTTAAGCTGTGTCTTCAGAAAGGTAGTTATGTTTATCATTAAGATAACTGATTTTTCTTCGTAGGACAGTGATTGTTCATGGATTTACCCTTGGGGAAAAGGGAGAAAAGATGTCCAAGTCTCTCGGGAACGTCATTAACCCTGACGTCATCATTAATGGAGGCCAAGTAGGTGCTTCCCTAAAAAGTGTTCTAGTCTTGTTATAAGATTCTTATACTGACAGCCATGTTCATAATATACTTACTTCAATATAAAAATAAAAACTAGGTATTAATAGAGGATGCCTTACCATGTTTTAAATCTAGACTCTTAAATAACACATGCTTTTAATGAAAAGGGAAGAGCTGGGCTGTAGCCCTTTTGACTTATTTCAGGTCTTTATCTCCAGTTAGGTCCTAGATCGTGGGATTTCCTTTTTCTAATTGATCGTTGGTCCTTTTGTGGCTCATAAGCACGATGAGCAGGTTTTCATGCTATTGTGTGAGACGTGCCTCCCTCAACATTGTTAGAATGTTGTCACATTACATGTCTGATAGGAAAAAAATGTATGAGCTATAATTTTATAAATATATGGAAATGATAGAAGAAAAAAATGAGATTGAAACTTGTGAATATATGTTTTGTTATTTTATTCTTGGAAATTATACATCTTAAAGCAAGTTATTAATGGACATCAAACCCATGGTTGCTGATAATTTAGTTTTTAGTTGTTACTTTGGGGGGTGGGGGGAGTTTTCATAAAAGAAATTACTTGTCTGGTTTTTACTCCTGTGACTTTTTCCTGCCCTCCTCATGTCCTGCAGTCATGTGCTGCTCTGTGTACAGAGCTGTGAGGGATGATGATGAGGACGGCTGTCCTGCTGCTTCCTTCTCCTGTCTCGCTGCTCTGTGTAGCAGATGGACAGGGACGTGACCAGCGAAGAGATCGCGTATTTCGCGTATTAGCATCTAGTTTGTTGTCTGTAGATGCTGCCTCCTCTGAGCCTCACTTTATTACACTTCAGTATAGTTCATACTTCTGTTGTGCGCTAACGTTTCTGCATAGGAGCTTTACCTATGTCTCATAGGAGCTTTGAAATGAAACCATCCTGATAATGTGTTTTTTCCTCCATGAAAGGATCAAAACAAAGAGCCTCCCTATGGTGCTGATGTCCTTCGTTGGTGGGTGGCTGAGTCCAATGTCTTCACTGAAGTGACAATTGGTCCATCCGTGCTCAATGCTGCCAGAGATGACATTAACAAGGTTAGAGTCATTGTTCTTCATGGTTGTGAATTAAAAGTTTACTAAATCATTATTTTAAGAAATTATGCACATTTCTGAATACTAAAGAAAAATGAGTTTTCCACATGATGTGAGCATTTTAAAACATCCTATGTTAATTTGTTTAAAAACATTGTAATAATGTTAATAATTTTCTATCCTTTTATATTTTCTTAATATAACATAAAATGTACCATAGCACAGTATGAATTATATTAATTTTGTATACTTTTATGTGCTCAATAACTTTTCACATTTACTCCATTTTTCTTTATTTTCACCTGTGAGGCAGGTGAAATAACATTATCTTCATTTACGTACATGAATAAACTGGGTTACTAAAAGGGGATTTAAGCCAGGTACAGTGGCTCACACCTGTAATTTGAGCATTCTGGGAAGCTGAGGTGGGAGGATTCCTTGAGCTCAAGAGTTTTAGATCATCCTGAGCAAGAGTGAGACACTGTCTCTAAAAGTAGCTGGACAGGCAGGCGCGGTGACTCAAGCATGTAATCCCAGCACTTGGGAGGCTGAGGTAAGTGGATTGCCTAAGCTTATGAGTTCGAGATCAGACCCTGTCTCATAAAAATAGCTGGGCACTGTGGCATGTGCCTGTAGTCCGAGCTACTTGGAGGCTGTGGCAAGGGATCACTTAAGCCCAAGAGTTTGAGGTTGATGTGAGCTGTGATGCCATGGCACTCTACCTACCTAGGGTGACCAAGTGAGACTGTCTCAAAAAAAAAAAAAAAAAGTGATTTGCCCTAAAAATATAAAGAAACACAATGAAAAATCCAGTCTTTAGGCATAAAATTTAGTTGTTTTCTATATTTGGGCTATTGGAATGAGAGGGATTTTTTTTACCATCTGTAGTCACATTTAGGAATTACATAATAAAAACATCCCATTAAGAAAATGAGAAAACGGCCTGGCATGGTGGCTCATGCCTGTAATCCCACCACTTTGGGAGGCCTACCTGGATGGATTGCCTGAGCTCACGAGTTAAGAGACCAGCCTGAGCTAGAGGGACACCCTATCTCTAAAATTAGCTGGGTGTTGTGTAGGGTGCCTGTAGTCCCATCAGGAGGCAAGAGAGTCACTTGAGCCCAAACAGTTAGAGGTTGCTGTGAGCTGTGATACCTTCCCTGTCTCTGCTCTTTCCCCTACTCCCCTCCTTCCTTCTCTCTCCCTCTGCTCTCCCCTTCCCCAATCCCCCACCATGTACTAGGTCATTAATTGTCCTCATATCAAAATTGAGTACATGGATTCATGCTTCTCCATTCTTGTGATGCTTTACTAAGAATAATGTGTTCTACTTCCATCCAGGTTAATACAAAGGACGTAAAGTCTCCATCTTTTTAAATGACTGAATAGTATTCCATGGTGTACATATACCACAGCTTGTTAATCCATTCCTGGGTTGGTGGGCATTTAGGCTGTTTCCACATTTTGGTGATTGTAAATTGAGCTGTGATAAACGGTCTGTTGCAAGTGTCCTTAAGGTTAAAGGAATTTTTTTCCTTCTGAGAAGATGCCCAGTAATGGGATTGCAGGATCAAATGGGAGGTCTAGCTCGAGTTCTTTGAGGTTTCTTCATACTTCCTTCCAAAAAGGCTGTATTAGTTTGCAGTCCCACCAGCAGTGTGAAAGTGTTCCTTTCTTTCCATGTCCACACCAGCATCTGCAGTTTTGGGATTTTGTGATGTGGGCCATTCTTGCTGGGGTTAGATGATAGATCAAGGTGGTTTTGACTTACATTTCTCTGATAATTAGGGATGATAAGCATTTTTTCATATATTTGTTAGCCATTTGTCTGTCTTCTTTAGAGAAGGTTCTATTCATGTCTCTTGCCCATTGATATATGGGATTGTTGGCTTTTTTCATGTGGATTAATTTGAGTTCTCTATAGATCCTAGTAATCAAGCTTTTGTCAGATTTAAAATATGCAAATATCCTTTCCCATTGTGTAGGTTGTCT